AATTTCCAAAACAGTAATGTGCATGGGTGCGCATAGTCCTATTTTGCAAAAATGCATGGGGAAAAAAGTTAGTTTTGTGGCGAGGGTGAAGCAGTGAATGTGATAGCAAGAAATTAGAATGTCACATGAACAAGGGCAAGCAACTCTATACATGCAACACACCGCTCAAGCACGAAAGACGCACGGAAAAGAAAGCGCACAGTACGAGTGCTGATGAACAACTGTCACAGCTCGACACTGGAAGTGTGCTGCTTAAAGGAGAACTCCGGTGCATTTTCGACCATACTGAGATAATGCTGCTTTCAAATAGTATTGATAGTCCCGCAAATGCTTGGGTGGTTCATTTTGCCCAGGCACTCACCAATACTTTTAATTGAGCGATAAACAATAAGTCAAAAGAGAAGCCAAACAGGGAGCTGCTTCGTCACCATGGTGGGTATCGAATGACGTAACGAGATCTGCTACACCCTGGCCCTGCCGTTCAGCAAAACGTGACAAATCGCACACCTGGTTAATCGCACGAGGTGACCAACAAGTCTAGCCTGGTGGTGCCACGACTGGCTAGGGTCTAAACATAGCTCACGTGCCTCTTCTTACGTGCGAAAAGCAAGTTGTCGATGTCATTGGGTGCGGAATCAAGCTGTGCCAGTGCGTCTAAACGTACGAGTGACGAGTTCAGCGATGATTGCAGCTACTCTCTGAACACGGAAGCATTGCTTTTTGGTTTCGCCCCACCGGTGCGTGAAGCATCTGATGTGCCCCAAATCGATTTCATCGTTGCTCAATACTGTAAGACCCGATGTCAACGCCTACTAACACGCTGCTGTGTGCTCACGTTTTCTTCTCCTCATAAAAGAAAGCGCGTGCTGCATCCATCTGCTGGGAAAGGCGGGTTTTTTGAAGAAGAGTAGGTCCTTTCGTCACATACAAAGGGTGGCCCGTATGTAAAAATGTGATTCCACAATCGGCTACCAATCTTAAACTGTTTTTTCGGAAAAACTAAATGAGTTACGCTTGTATAATTTTGCACATATTACCACTGTACCAACGAGACACGCGTGCAAAGTTTTATTAAAATCAGTGATTGACCCGAAAAATGGCGGAGTTCCCCTTTAAACACCAAGAAGGATGCTAGAAAAGAACACACAAGTATCCACAGGATGAGTGTAAGTTAACCACTGTAACATTTGTTACTCCTTGGTGTTCCAGCAGCGTGCTGCAAGTGTCAACTGCACAAGCCACCACTCGTAATGGGGTGGTGCCATCTGATTGTGAGGCTATAGCAAGCGTCATGTGGGTTTCTTCTGTATGCTAGAACACTCCACACAAATGGTCGGACTTAGAAAACATTGAGGATATATTTCAAGTCACTTCCCAAGTGTACGTAAATGCTCATTCTCCTAATTAAGGCCCATTGCGAGCACATTCAACACTGACGTAGCTCTATAGGAAGGGCAACGATACTTGTAGTGATGTCACACCAGATTTGTAGTGAGGTGAGTGAGCTCCGGACTTCTGCCACGTGCATGCCGGCAGAGCATTCTGGAGGCTGCAGATAGCGGAGCATTTGTTTTATATGTGCTTGTGTAGCACTTGTGTGCGTGAACAGATGATACTCAGCATGGTGTGTGCACTGATCACGTGACTAAATCAGCTATACTGCTACCTACCTGACCAGCTTGGTGCCCACTAACAGGAACTGAAAATTGTCCATATCAAAAAGGCGATCAATTATATAGCAAGAATAAATTAATTTTGGTGCATGTATTGTGCTTGTGGAGCTATTGTAATTAAAGCTTGCCGGAAAGAGCGCACAGGCCACAAATATTGTGGCACCACCCCTTCAAGGCCTAACTATACATGCGCGTTGATGAATACCAACAGTGCGCAACTTTCTTGTGTCTGGAGAGTGAGGGAGAGGGTACGAGAAGTTATGAAGACTAGATTTTATTTTCGTTACAATTGCGATATTCCTATATTTATTGTAAGTGCAATAAGATCTGTCTTTTTTTTTTAAATTGTAGATTGGAAAATTCCAACTTAGCGTGCTGCTTTGAGTCCCTTGAAAAGCTTGCAACAGGTCCTGGAAAGTTCTGGAAAGTCCTTGAATATCCTTGAATTTTCGCTTTGAAACCTGTACGAACCCTGTACAGCCTACAAGAAATCACTGGTAATTTAACCTGCTGCACTAAATAAAGAACCTTCTGTGCATCAAGAGACGTAACACATAATAAAATGCTGCTTGTTCGTTTCTGTTTGACTCATGCAAAAAAGAACCTTCGGACATTACTATGGGGAATGATGCGAATGGTTCAAAAGTTCCCAGTTGAACCAAGCACGTCTGCCATCTTGGAGCCAATGGCACAAAATTGTTCAATGGCTGTTGTTGCTGCTGTGTCTCCCGCTGCTTTTGTTGTGCTGCTACTAGTGCCGGCGGCCGCACAGTAAGCCAGGCAACATTGTGCAAGGCAACAGTGATGTGAGACGTCCTGCTTGAGGCGGGTAATTTGAAGTGCGATAACCTGATGCAGACCACTAAAACGTGATTTCGTTTCAAAATAAGCACTTTCTTTGCACAAAAGTAACAACACTACGAGGTTTCTGGACCGCTATTTCAACAGTCAGCATCGACTTAATAGTTGCATTTAGTGTCTCTTTAAATTGGTAAAATTAGCCGCAAACACACCGGAAGTGCTGATAGCTGTAATCTTTCAAAGAACGTGTGCGCCACATCCAGCGGCAGAAGTTTTTGCTTTCCACTTTGACAATTGTGCAACAAATCAAAGCCACACTTGAAAAAAGAAAAGCTACATACAGAATATAAAACTACAGTCCTCCTTCATGACAGATGGCCCCGCCACGCTGGTCTAGTGGCTAAGGTACTCGGCTGCTGACTCGCAGGTCGCGGGATCGAATCCCGGCTGCAGCGGCTGCATTTCTGATGAAGGCGGAAATGTTGTAGGCCCGTGTGCTCAGATTTGGGTGCATGTTAAAGAACCCCAGGTGGTAGAAATTTCCGGAGCCCTCCACTACGGCGTCTCTCATAATCATATCGTGGTTTTGGGACGTTAAACCCCACATATCAATCAACCTTCATGAAAGATGGTGTAGTATGCCTGTGAAGGGTGTGGAATGTCTAGAAAGTGGCAATTCAAGCTATCTATAGTGAGCTACTGATGCAGTATGGGCACAATATGGAGACAAGATTTGCTAAAAAAAATCTTGATTTCTTTCTGTGCTCTTTTGTATTCCCCAAGATGTCAAAATAAAGAAAAGCCTTCTGATGTGGTCTAATCACTTTGGCACCAGCTTGTTACGACCCATTTGTGGGCTGTGTTGATGGAATTAGTAACCTTCGAGATATGATTTTCCTTTTTGTGAAACGCATCTCGAAAAGGTGTATGTTTTATTGCTGAATTCCTTAATCACTTTGATCTAGTCAGCATTGTCGTATATTTTGAGATGTTGCTCACTTATCAGTATCTGAATCTTAACCCGTAAGTAAATCCTTGCATGATGGGCTGACGTTTACATGATAAAACGATGTGCCAGTCAATAGGGCCGCTGTGAGGAATTGCCGCTAGACTCAATTGTGGCAGAGAAACTGGTGTGTTCTTCTATAGGGAACCAGCAAAATGTGCAGGCGAGCGCACTGAAGAAAACTGCATAGTTGTGAGCACATTCGGAAAGCAAAAACAAACCTCAAACCTACAGTAATCATTCGTTTTGTTGTCAACAAGATAAAAGTTGTTTTTGTGAGTTCCTGAGAAAGAAAAAGCAACCACTGCGGCACCGTTAGTGTCAATCAGCACCTGCAGAGAAACAGGAGTAATTGTTTACAAGTCAGCAACAAGCTAGAGAGTAACAAATCAGTCACCGTTTGAAAGCTTCCAAACTGAAAAGCCATCAGTTTTGCAAGTGTAACAAGAGGTAGCCGGCAGAAGAACAAAACCGAAAGTAGCTGATGCACTGCTGCAGTAAAGCATTAAAGCAAAGGGGAAGAAAAAAAAGAAAGAAAGAGCCAGACAATAACGCAAGGAAAAAGTTGCACATATTCCCACAGTGTGGCAGTGCATGGCAAGCAAGAGAAATGATCCAATAGGGCATCGTTTTAAGGGTACGGGCGAAGATGTTGATGTAAGTTTTTGTCTTATAGCTGTTAGTGGATGGCGTACATGTATGTTTTTGGCCTTCGAAAGGTTAAAAGAAAAACACATACTTGAAACACTCATTTGTGATTCTATGTCCACAATTTTCACTTCTGCTATCGTGGAATCAATGGCAGGAAATTGTTCAGTGGCCTGTTGTTGCTTCCGTGGCTCCCACTGCTTTCGTTCTGCTGCTACTAGTGTCGGCGGCCGCGCAGTAAGCCGGGCAATGTTGTGCAGCAGAGACACAACGTTGCCCGCTTGGGGTGAGTGATGAGTTTGGATGAAATGTGCAGCCAAAAAGCTAGTTCGAAAAGCTTAGTGTAGTTGAGTTGTGTTCCAAGTGTTTCCAAGTTACAAGTCGGACTTGACATGGTCATTTTTTTTTTCTCTTTCCAGTATAGGTTAGTGTATAGTTCAGTATAGTTAGTGTACAGTTCAGTATTCAGTATAGGTTAGTGTGAGAATTTTGCATGTAGTCATGTCTGCTCAAGTGTCTCACTCCTTCTATGTATCTGGTGTTAGAGGTGTATATTTCCTATTTTCTGAAGGTGAGAAGCAGTTGTACGACTCGTAGTGTTGCCCAGCTGGGGGTGAGTGATGAAGTTGGGTGAAAGATAAATGTTTTTGAGGGAGACCTAATTCTGTCATTGTTGAATTCAACATCTGGATGTTTATTTATGCAAGGTTTACTGCAAGGCTCCCCTCCCCCCTTTTTTTTTTCATTCTAAAGTGGTTTGTATCGAAGCTTTGGTGCAGCTTTGGGAAACCTAATCGATAAACCTGTCAAGTGAGTAGAAAATAGAGAAATAACTTTTGTGTATGTTTTTTCTCATCATTTTTGCTGAGCAGGCACCTACCAGTCCTCGGCCTCGGCAGTTGTACCAAGGTGGTGCGCCTCCATCTGAGCGGTCGGGCAGTGCGCCTGCATCCCCGGCGTCTCATGGTGCGCCCTCTCCTGTGTCTTCTCCGAGTGCCGTGGGCAGTCCGTATGGGGCCGGTGGCTACCGGACCGGATCTGCCATGGGCAGCACGTCACCCTTACAGCAGCAGATGGAACAGTTCCGCGTTGCAGCTGGCAGCACTGATGACTCTGCTTCGCCTTCTGCCGCTGCAACACAGAGCCAATACTTTGTGGTGAGTGTTGGAAGATGTGTCCGTAAAAGTTCCTAATGCTTGTTATGATTTGGCAAGTATGAGCTTTGCTGCAAATGTTGGGGCTGCGTGTTGAATTTTCTGTCTGAAGGCGCCATTGATTTAGACAGCTACTATTTGGTAGTTGTGGCATGCAAATTTTCATGATGTGTTGTCAAAGTCGAACAGTATGTCGCTTAGAGGAAGGAATCTTGGCACCTTTATAGCTGAAGGCCTGTTTGTGCACAGCTAGTAAAGCATTGCTTTGCTAAACATGTGTGCGTTTGCAAAATCTTGCATGCATGCACCCTAGCTAGCAAATAAATAAATAATATTGTTACCAATAAATATAGCACCTGGTACTATATAAATTACTTATTTAGGGGGAACCTGTGCTTGTAAACTCAAAACTAAAAATGGTCAGCCAAAATGTCCCTTGCTCGCTGACTCCAACTTCGTCATTCTCCACCTCTGCCCTTCGAGTCTCGTGCCGGTCCCATGGCGTAGCCTCGTGGCACGTGCAGGACGGCGTTCTATGGTGCAGCTTTCTTGCTACTTGTGTGGCGGTTTTTACGAACGCAAATTGTTGCACGCGTCTTCTGCGATGATTAAACTGTGGCAATATAAAAATGAAGGCAGGTAGTTTCCTTCCTGCATATATCTGTTTTCTTGGCTGTTTTAAACGACATTTTTGTATATGAGCATTTGTGACAAAAGCTTCAATGTGGCGTAGACTCTTTGTCATGCTATGTGTAAGCATTTTTTGCCGCCATTCTTTAACAGCGACGCTGGCTTCTGCCCATTCTAGTCAAGTTACCTAAAAAAAAAAAAAAACTATGATTAAAATGGCCCATATCTTGGGTATGAGGTCTGATGAAATGTGCTGCCAATATGGTAATTAACTATTTAAAGTACCAGAGTTCACATTTTTTTTTTGTTTATTCAGGTTTTTTATATGCATATATATATTATAGGCACCTATAATTGTTGCCAAGCTCTATATATTGTCACTTTTTTGCTTCTTTACCTTTTTTTTCAATGAATACTTGGTCGCTAGAGTCATTCTCTTATTGCCTTCAATGATACCGTATTTACCACGATGTAATGTGACACAATTGTTACAATTGTAACAGGAGGGGCGACTTCTGCGAAGAAAAAATACTTTTTTAAAATGAAATAGTTTTGTGCAGCATTGAATTTTTAAGAACACTTTATATTTCGGTATTTCATTATAACATGAGGGTTGACATCAGATAGCAGAAATCTGGAAAAAAAAAATAAATAAAACTAGCATCACTTTAGAGTAAATGCGGCACATGTATTGAGCTAATACAAACATTTCTATGTAAGATTGTTTCCTGCTTCTTGCAATGCTGTAGCAAGTCACTGTCTTCAGTAAAAGCGACCTTTGTGGCATACTAGAGTGTATATTACGTGTCTAGTCAAGTTCTTCATTATTGTAAAAACCCGCATATAATATGATGATTTTTCCTGTTTTCAAACATTTAGCATTTCGAATATCCGCCTTTTACTATTAGCGTATAGAAACTAAAACCGACTTGAAAAACGAAGTTGTTTTTTAAGTTTCTGTTTTGTAATTGCTGCGTGGCTGCAGATTCACTTTATTATCTTCACGTAGCAAGTGTGAGTGTGAGCACTGGAGCCATTTCTTTCTTTGTTACTGAGTGTTTTGAGCGTGTTCTTCCATGACAGTGGATGTGTGCACGTGTGAACCTCGGAAGCAGTACTTGGCTGATTTCAAGAGAAGTGGTGTCGCAGCTGCTGTGAAAATCCGCAGCATTGCAGCCAGGAGGCAGTTTGGCATCTGTGTATGGCAATGACCGAAATGAGCACCCTTTTCATGGGGTGGAAAGCAAAAAAATTTTTGCGGCCCAAATAATGCGGCAGTCCCAGAAATGAAACTCGCCCTGACTGAGTTCATTCTACGGCAATGGGTCGTGTATTTGGCAGTGAGCATGGAACTGATAGAGCCTAAAGCGAGGGAGCTTGCAAGCGAAAAGGGAATATTGAGCTCAAAGTGAGCAAGCAGTGGATCTACTGTTACATGTGCCACACTGGATTTTCCCTTCGCCGGCAAACCTCCATTTCTCAGAAGCTCCCAGAGTCGTTCGACGAGCTTCTTGTGTTTTTTCAATGCCACGTTATTTCATTGCACAGATAAAAGAAATTTCAGTTGGGCAAATCGGCAATGCCGTTCAAATGCCTGTGTACCTGTGCATGCCATCGCCCCTCACTGTTTACCAAAGGGGCTAGAAACAAGTTCATGTCTTGTTGGGTCTCGAAATGGCAAGCGAGCGCCACGCCACACTCTTGGAGTGAAAGAACACAGCAGACACAGTTGGAACGAACCAAATGATACGCACATTTATCTAACTAATTTAGAACGACGATATCGTCAGCCAAATAATTATAACACCGATCGTGACCAACACGCTAAGACATCCTTGCACAATATTACTCAGCATGTAGCAACATAACAAACACAAGAGCACACAAAAGGCGGCATCGCCAACGCTTGACTCACCGCGCGAGCCCCCCCCCGGCAGACTGCCCGCGGTGCCGTGCACTGGGCACACGTTGCGGCAGCAACTGTTCTTGCTAAACGCCACCAGTCGAAAAGACTCTCTCCATTCTCTCGCCCGCCACCAAGGCTTGTCTTCCGCCAGGGGTCACCGCCGGTGCTACCGCTCTACCAACCATGATGATTAGAGACCGAATTCAAGGCAAATGCCTATTTTGTTCCTTGCGTTCCTGTCGTGCCAATTTGATATATGAGCATGGATTAGAGGTTAAGTAGGGCTTTTATGGTGTTTTTATAGTGCCTATAAATGCCTATTTACAAATTAGCACCTATATGAGCATATGAGCACTATTCAAGGCCAAATTTTGGTTTAGCGCGTGGTGTGAAACCGTTATTAAGGTAAAAAAGGCAACATTGATATTTTGAAATACTATAACGTTCAACGAAGACAAAGCTGACATGCAGCGAGCGATTGGAAGAGGAGCATGAGGAGTGCAAAAGACTGTATTTCTGCAGCCCTAAGTGGAAGCACATTTCGGCGTCTGCAAGGAAAGGAGGAGAGAGAATTAAAGATGGGGTAAGAAAACAAGATTAGAGTTTCCGTGACCGGCTGTATGATGATGCGTTTCACGGCTAGAGTGGCAACAGAGCATGTGTGAATCAGGGGCACAAATTTTTATATGCCCATTTTGTGTCATTAATTATACTGCTAAAAATTACTGTGCCACCAGTCTTCTGCCCATAACTTTGTTATTTGAAAAGAAGGCATAAACCATCATGATGTGATCCATCTTTTTGATGCAATAAATTCTCTCTCCAAATGAAGAAATGTTCAGTGAATATTTGTAATCAAGTACTCAATTATGCTAATTACAATTTCAGCACAAGAAATATGTGTAATCATTTCAGTATATGGTCTTATTCAATTACAAACTTTTCTGTCATGCCTATAACGCCGCTCCTTCATACAAAGAAGTTGGTTTGAAAATCCATACTTGTTCTTTGTAAAACATGAAAAGGAGGTTATGGGGGGGAAAAAGGGCAACCAAGGCACACTGGTCAGAGACCAGATACCTGAGAAGTCAAATATCACAAGACAAACCTAAGATCACAATCTTTAGGTGTTTTAGAGGCATAAAAAGAAGTTGAAACTTTAAACGCAGTTTTCTCAATACTGTTTTTTTGGCATTATACTCAGCTCGTGAAGCAGATATTTGGGCAACCACTGTACAGATTTTGATTCCGTTTATATTGTAATGCTCCTTGAACTGTGCTTCAAGGGGCTGCGATTTTAGTTTTTCATTTTACTCTTTAAAGAATTTTTTATAGGGTTTCTTGTTTGTAGTGCAAGTGTGCTCATTGCAGTGTCGCTGGAGAAAATGTTAACTACAAGTTTTAGTGTTGCAAAAAAATTATTTTGAGAACGCAGCCCCCTTCACCATACATTCGTCTGCGCATACAGTAATTACCAACCATTTTTGTCTTTTTATAAATCCTCCAGCCCCTCCACGAGGTTCAACTGAAAAATAATTTGTCTCTCATTAAGTATTTCTGCTATCGCCTAGAAATTTTTCGGATGCACGGTGAGGCCATTCTTAGTGTTTGTGCCAATTTTCATCATCCTATCTAAAACAAGAAAGTTCACTGTCAAAGGCATGTCCCCCCTTAAACAGTGTTCGCTCAATCAAGGGAAAGATGCACCATTGTGAATGGAGTGCACTTTGCAACATGTCATAACCATATTGCATGGAACAGTTCATGGAGAATGGGGACAGGGACCTGTGAAATATGCTCGACCTCTGGGGAGGTCTCATGCTTCAGCCATGTTTCAGAAAGTATACATCTGGCTGGCAATGGCCTGCAACCTTGGAGCTTGCGAGAGTGGAATTCAGCAGAAGTGACGGCTTGGCTGATCCTTACTCCAAGCCCAAGGAATAGGCCCACCTTTTGAATGCTCGTAGCCTCTTATGCATGTCTGATGCTTTGTTCAAGGTGGCTTACTGTCAGCTCATATGCTGTCTCACAACCGTGGGATTCGCAGATGCCTGACGGGAGGTACTGCAGCAACCCAAGCATCCCAACCAGTGCTTCCTCGGGGGGTGTGTTCTTCCCAGACATGGGTCCAGGGTCAGGAATGGCTGGTGATGCCTTAAGCTGTTCCTTGCCTTATTCTCACGACTCTATGTATTACACGGGCGACTTGCAGTACTCGGCAAAAACGGCTGCCAGTCCTTCGAGTGGGGCTCCGCAAACACCCCAGACGCCTACCAGCATCCCAGACATCATCCTAACAGGTGCTTTTCTTTTTTTGTGTGAGTGTGTGCGTCTGCTGAAGGCAGCAGCAGTAGTTCTGTGATTCTTCGTTGTTGCAATTAGTTTAAATGGGCATTGAATTCAGATGATTCGATCTAAAAGATAACCTTGACTTTTTGAGCTTGGGAAGCAAAGACAAACTCTGTGTACAGTTGCCGAATAATAGTTGTAACTCAAAGGGTACTGCCAAACATTGTGGTAGTCATTGGAAGTCTGAAATACATTCTGAAATCACCAGAAAAAGCAATATTGCATGGGTTCTCAAACTGGGTTCTGCAGAACTCTGAATTTGAGGGTTATACGAGCAGTCGGTGTGATCTTCTCTTGTTTTACCCTTCATTAGTTCGTAATTTATCACTTTAACGAAGCCATCGCATGTCTTATCCGCACATTGGTGTCTGCATTTAGTGAGAGACATGTTGGATAGCAGCACTAGAGACTCGTTGTTTAGTGCGCGCCATAACATTTGTCATTTGCGGCCGTGGTGACAGTGAGCTTGGAGTGCTGGTAATTCATACTCATGAGCACAGTTTGTAACACCTGTGCGAGGACCAGTTCAGTAATTTTGTTAGTTGAGATATGGAAGATATTCGCTGTTGAAAGTATGTTAACGGCCATGCGGTTGCTTTGTGGATCATGGCGCACTGCCTTTCATGTGACTGTTTTTATAAATGTTGATTTGCTGCTGCATTATGTTGGCCATTTGTAAAGAAAATGTACAATGAGCACTTTGATATGCAGAAGAGGCATCACTTGGTGCGGGCTGTGGCTAGTATATTGATAACTGTTTCACAGTGCAACTGGCACGCTTTCTTTTTTGTTATGCAGGAGATAAAACAGGCTTTTCTGCATCCGGTGTTTTGTTTGCATGTACTAAAGCACGCAACACTGTATGATGGGCAGGAGCAGTACACAACTCGCGGAGTGGCGCGTGCATGGAGCAGCCTATTTATGTATTCTGACAAATTCGGTATCAACAGCTCTGGTCTTGGAGATTAAAGATAAGAAGCCATTGTGTAGCTGTTAAGGCTGTGGTTGCACACATCAAGACAGCCTGCCTCTCCCTGCTGCACATCCCAATTTTCCTCATGCTAAATGTACATGAAAAGGGGGGGGTTCTGTGGCACTCTGGAAAAGCTCATCATGCAAAAACTATCTTTGAAAGTAGTTATCCAGGAATAGGTTCCAAGTTTTAATTGCCTTGCTGTGTGAACATGCACTTACCTATGTTTCAAAGATTTGTCTATGGCTGCAGTTTTGCAGTGGTGCATTTTTGTGGGGCTATTTCTTCTTTTCACACTTTCTGTGATTCGTAGCTAGTGAGAGCGGCACTTCACCCACATCATTGATGCAGTAAGTCCGCTACAAGATTATGTCCTTTATGTCATTGTCGTCACTTCGCTACAAATAGGGTGGTTGGTAAACGCTCAGTAATGCCATCCTTGAGAGCAACACTGTAAGCCTCGCTCTGATTACCAGGTCATCTCGTGCCTCTTTGGAGTTGTTATTGTCTGCCGCTTCCTTTACCACACTTTTTATGGTCAGGCATGGAGGGTACCCCTTGTGCCACATGAAGCTTATTGAATGCAGTGTCGTTGCTTGACACATGAGTTAGCTATTGTTGGACAACGAAAAAAACTTGCATGATATATTGTGCAAATGGAGCTTTTATGACTTGGTGGCTTGTGTCTGCTTGTACACAGCCTAGGTCGTAGTTGGCAACTACTAGACCGGTCAGGTCTGTAGGTTCCATAATCAAGTGGTATTGGTGACGTATCTAAACTGAAAGATCGCTAAGTCGACGATGAATTTTCTGGCTACTGAAATTCAGACTTCATAAATGCACCCACAAGGTTCTCATAGCACTCATGCATTCTTGCAACAGATTTTTTGGACGAATTTGTGCTTTAAAGTTTAATTTTTCTGACTAAATCGCTCGTTTTGTGCCATGTCACTCAAATTTAGAAAACCACGAGGTTGGATTTTTCATTAGCTTAGTAAAGTTCAGCTTCCAGTGGCTAGTTGTGTAGCCTCCAAGATTGGAAGTAAGCGTAATTTCCTAGTCTCGGATGCCATGTCCCATCTTTTTTGGCTGTCAAAACTGTCTGGAAAGGTTTCTAGGGAATTCAACTTTTCTATTTAAGTCAGCCTTATCATCATCATTAATATGCTGGTAGGATTTTCTTGTGTGTGTGTGTGTATGCAATTGTTTTTTTTTTTTTGTCATTTAGAGAATGGTCATGTGTCAAGTGCTTTCAAGCCATCGCGTGTGGCACAGGTTCTCTGCTGTTGCAGTTTCTCAGTAGCTCTCGGTGGTTACAGTGCTCAGTTACTAACCAGAAACACGTGAGTTTGAATGCAACTGGGGCGGTAGCATTTCGATGAAGGCAAAATGCTGAAGGCAAAATGCTGAAGGCTTGCGTACTGTGCGATGTAAGTGCAGTTTGAGAAACTCTAGATTGGGTCGTTAAATTCCACCGAACAGAGGAGACATCGCATGCATCTTTTTGTGACCAGCATCGAGTCTTGTTTGCTTGGTGCCATGCAGCCACCAACAGTGCCTCCCACAAGGATCAGTGGCAGCAGTTGCCAATGCTCTAACGATATCATCGTAGCCCAAATACAACCAAATCTGCTCGTCTCCAAGTACAGCATGAAGCATGGCATTATTGGGAACCTTTTTTGACTTCTCTAATCCAAATAAGCTTTATTTTCATGTCTTAACCACGTTTTCAATCTGGGCGATTTTTCAGACTATTTTGCGGTCCCCACCAGGTCTTGAAGATTGGTCAGCGATTGTACATCAGTTCGACTGTCTGACAGAATTAGTGCATAACTGGGAACCTGAAGTCAGATTGGTCACAGTGCTGTATATTAACCGAAATTTCGGTCTCCTCATACACCAAGCTTAAGAGTAAAGTTGAGGTGCAGCGGAGCTGTTCAAATCATTAGACCTGTCTGAATTTTTCGGCACCTGGATTTGCAGTCGGTGAATGCACTTGTCTTGCAGTAATCTTCTGTGCATCTGTGGCTCCCCGCACATGTTATCTGCTTCAATTGGTTGTGCTTAGACGTTGCAATGCACTTCACAGGACCTGGCACTGACGATGCAGCTTTGCTGAAAGGGGCGTTGCAGCAGGCTAAGTTGGACGGCCAGTCTCTAGGCTCGTTTGACTCAGCTGACCTTTTCTCTGCGGAGGAGGCCCTTCGTGCAGGCCTCGACCCCATCGACATCGATGGTCTACAGATCCTGACTGATCCCGACATGGCAGTGATCAGTGACCCCGCCGCTGAGGAAGCCTTCCGCCTCGACCGGTCGTAGTGGTCGCCACAGCTATGGCCGCCCCAGGAAGAGGAAGAGTACGAGGAGGAAGAAGAAGTGCTTAGGGCGCCAGAGACTCCGCGGGCGCAGCCTGATGCGGGGCGAGCCACGGCTAGCGAAGACCGCCACGATTGAACCGAGGGCACACACAGACCTAGCACTCCCTGCCGCGCTCTCCCTGTATCTCTTGTTGTTGTGCTCTCGACTTGGGATGTTTTTCCCACCCTTCGCATTTTTATACCCACATTGGTGGCACCTTGCGTACTTTTGCCTACAACCGCAGGTCATCTTGTGTGGGAGGAAGGCCAGCAGCAAGTATAGAGCAGTCCAGAGTGAGCCAATCGCTGTATGCCAAGCGTATGATGATAGTATGCTGGCTGTGCGTTTCATCTTGACAAAACCCATCATTGGCGTCGCGGTGACTGCTAGTGACCGAGGTCCCATTCGGTCGGGAGACAAACCTCTGCGTTGGCATATTTGTGTGACTTGCGTACTTATGATTTCAGTGGCATAGAGCTCGTGAAGAGGGGAACGCAGCACCTTTGATGCAGCGAGGTGAATAGTGGGCCTTGACAGTGTTCCAAAAGAGGCACGAAAGGCACTTGCCCTTCTCTTCTTTTTTTTTTTTTGTCCCCCTCCTCCATAGTGTTTTGCTGTTGGAAGAAATTTTGGGATCACACATGTCCTACTGCCTACATGCCTCAACATCAGACAAGCTAATGAAAAGTCTGGACCGCACCCGTTTGACCTATCTTAATCCGAGGCTAAGTTTGTCTTCGCATCAGCCAAGAAAGTACTGATTGGCATCCATTTGAGCTAATTGAACCTTAAATGCCTCTGTCCTTTTCGCAAGTGTTTCAAATAGAAGCTGAGACAAACATAGCTACTGCCTAGCAACACTGATGTTATGACATCCTGCTGTGACTTATTAGTTTCAAATTGCAGCACATTAGTTGCTGCTTTCTTGTAGCAGCTGCTATTAACGCTGTTCAGATGAAGTGGCAATTCCTGCACACAGTAGGAGATCGTAAGGCAAGAGGCAATAATGAATCAAACTTGTAACTTCCGTGCACTGAATATGCCCAGCAGTTGTGCCATGCTTCTTCATGTATTACTGGCATATCGGGCCTCATTTTATCGATCTTCTTTGAAGCAGGCAACAGCACTCATTAAGTGCGCATCTTCCTACCTTCTTACTGCAGCAGAGTCACCAGATTGCTCTCGTAGCACTGTGGGGTTTAAGTTTGTTGTGTACAGTATGATTTTTGCTTTGGTAGCATCCTGTTTGCCAATCCAGAAGCCCTAGACCTACTGCTCTAGGAGCAGGCACAATCATGGCTAGGCTGGCACCTGTAGAGCCACATTGTTTATTGTGTAAATACATGAGCTCCTTATCTTTGTTGTTATTGTTTGGTGTGCACATGTGCCCAAGTCTTGTGGTCCTTTTATTTCTTGTTTACTGATTATGGAAAAGGCATTTGGGTCCTGAAATTGATAAATTGTGTAAAAATATATATCTGAAAACAGACATGTTGCAACGTTAGAGTACCTGCATCTTCACTTTCCATGTTTCCCATACTCTCATACATTTGCATACGAGCTGCAAGGTAAGCTTATGCAGTGTTTTCTTGTTTTTTATGACCTTAATGCCATTTTCAGACCTTCGGCAATCTGCAGGAACAGTACTTTAACGTAAGTTTTAGCTAGTACAACATTTTCTTTTCTTCAGAACGAATTGAAATGAGCTGACCACAGTATGTTACAATTGAATTGTTTGATTTTCTGGTCAAGGTTTAAGTGCTATGGCAATTCTTATCATCATTGTGTCATATTGTGGGCACTGCTTAACACCAGTTCTTTAAAGATCAAAATGTTTTTACTTGATTAGTGCTTCCAGACGTGTGTTCCTTTATCAGTGGCCTTCAAAGTTCTCGCTCTTTGGAAATTCTCTCTCATAATCTTTACTTCAGTAGCCAACATCACCCCAAATTAGGAGGTGCAAAAGGTTGAGAGATTGCCCGTTCAAGTCCAACAACTCATCAGGGACTGAGAAAAATTTTAAAACGGGCACTCATGTTATTCCATTGCAAGCCAGCTGTCAAATATTACATAACCATTACTTACCTTTGTTTAGTTTGTGGAGGGTTTTCTGTTTGGTTCCTATGACAAAATTAAATTGTTTTTTTTTTTTCCGGTTGCTTAATTGGCCTAAGCTCCACTTTCTTTTTCACGCCCATTTCTGCTGGCTAGGTTGAGTGTCTGCAACCTGCGCTCATCCTTTAGGTTCCGCTCTTGCTTATCTCATCGGGTATCGGCGTTGGTGTGAAAATCAAGTCGTCTTGGCTTCTTGTTTTGAACGAAAGATTTGTCGTCTGCCCCCCTGCTAAAACTGCTTTGAAGTGTACGTGTGGGACAGTTGGCAGAGCAGAAATTCGGCAAGCAGACATCATAAAAGTGGATATTGCAGAAGCGAGACTAATTCGAGTGTGAAATCACAATATGGTGTGGAACACCAAAGGTTGGCACAGCTTGCCAATAGCAATGGTGATGCATAGAGGGAGAGGCATTCGACTGATCTGCTATCAGGATGTTGGCATGATAAAGTGGGAAAAAAGGAAACTGAAAAAAATAAATGCACCAAATCCGTTAATTTTTTTCTGTAACTTTGGTAAGTTTCCACAATTTATGACAGCTGTGGTTGTCGCTTATGCTTCCTTTTGATCTTATCAGCTGGACTTGGGAAAACTGATATCATTTCCCATTTTGTCTCCTACACGCCATATTGTCCAACCAGGTTTCTGTGTGTAACCTGTACTTCGAGCTTCATAGATATCGCCCTCGTGGCCTAACGGATAAGGCATCGGACTCCTAAACCAGGAGCTTCATAGATGAAATATGAAGCAAGATCTCCAGGCAAAGATTTGGGCCGATAACTGCCTACAGCAGCACTCTACTCTTTCTATGAAAGAGCACCGTGGTACAATTCCTCACGCAATGAAAAGCTGTAAAAATGTTTTTTCTTTTATCACATCAGAGTTTTGTATGCAGCTGACGGAAGTAGGCTGTGCATTGTCGTCAAACTGAGCCTGATGAAAAAGTAGTTTGAAACTCACCTCTAAGATCGTACTTAAACATCTTGAATTAGTGTAGGTTATACTAGTAAAAAAGTGGAATGTTCTTACCTGTGCTTTTGTACTGTGAAATAACTACCACCACCTTTTTCTCCAAAGGCAGTTGGCACAACAGTTTCACAAAATGGTAGCTGTTTCTATTGAGATTAAACTTTTATTTCAGCGCATAACATTGAGGTAACCTGCTTTTTATGAATGCCATTGCAATATCTCCGTGAAGCTTATAATAATGGCTGTATGTCTAGTGTGTATATGGGGCATCTAGAAATGCAGCATCTATATTGATGACATTGTGTCATTTTTGTTATGGCTACTCTGCAAGTTGGATGCAGTGGCTATTTTGCTGTTTTCATAGCCTAGTCCTTGCCACATCATTAACCCCTCGTGGTGAGATTTCAGTATTCAGCCACCACTGCTTGTGGTACATGTACACCATGATTTTGGTTCATGGCAAATTTCTTTTTATTTTGTTATGTTTTCTACATTTATCGCGTGCGACGTCACGTGCAGTCACTCATTGCTGTTTCACACGAGTCATTTCATTATAGGCCTATAGTATCAATATTTCTCGATATTAGTCATCAGCAAAATGGTTTTGCATGTCTGTACGCACGGTCTGTGTTAAGACGTCGGACACGGGTGTGAAACCAAATTGACACAGACAGGCTCAATGTACTTACTGGTCATATAAATTTGGTTCTGCTTATTTTTAGGAGGAAACATTGTTTGAGGGATATCATGTCAGCCTCTAGAAGTGCCAAGTAATTTTTCTTTGGGAGCTTTTCTGGTGACTCTGCACGTGGATGTGGCTGGCAGTATTTCACTTGGTAGACTTGGAACTGAAGCTGCGTTAAAAATGAAATTGAGAAATTGAAAATGAGATGATACTACTGTTGTGGAAGCTGTTTATCTGTTTTTATGTAAACGCAGCGCTCGGACCTCTCTGGTGTCCAGTTCGTGCTCTAAGTACAGCTAGGCTTCCGCGCAAGCATTTACACTTGTGCGCCGTGGGCATGTGCAATCAACTTGTGGTGGTGACGCACACTTTTAATTTTGGCTACATGACTGTCTTAATTTGTTACCAGTGTAGATTACAAGCAAGTTTCTTGTTGGTACCTAGCATTCCAAGCAATGTTCTGTACACAAAATTGATGCAGTTGAAATCCTGTCTGTTTACATAGTCAAGCTGGCAAAAGTGTTGACAGAAGCACTTGTTGAATGCACGCCTCTTGGGTGAGTTTTGGGGACTGCTTGTTAGTGATGTCAAGGCTTCTTTGCCACGGCAAGTTGGGAGCACTGATGTGGTTTGTACAAAGCAAGGACAAGTGCTTGGAGCAGGCAGGCAGTGTGCTGGTCACTGCATCATAGCTTTGGTTCTATTGGGAAGCTTTGTATTTGAAAGAGTTACTTGAGGGCATGTGACGGCACGGGGAATAGCATTGAGAGCTTGAAGGAAGGGGCTGTGGTGTTGCGTTCTGCTGGTACATGCTAAAATGCATTTGGCGAAGGACTTGGATGTTTGGTCAAGAGAGTCCTGGATGTTCTTTTGTATGGCTGAAGTTCTTGCTTCCCGCGTGTCATTCTTCCCTTGTACTCCCCCTGGCCCAACGTTTCGTGCTTGTGACGCTCATAAGCACATTCTTGTTAACAGGTGCTTGTGTGTACAACTTTTCTTTTTTTAAGTGATGGAGGGCTACATGCGCACTGTCGCAGGGACCGAACATACCTCTTCCTTTCTGCATCTATCTCTTATACTGTTCATGAGCAAACAGGAGAAACGATGAACGATGATGTGTGCGTTTTGCTGTACAGTTTCACTAGCTTTTTTTTTAAAACAGTTCTCTTTATATCTACGTGTACTTTGCCACCTCCTTTCCTGAAAAGTCCATTTCTTGGTGCAGAAATTTGTGTGTGCAATGTTTGAGAGCCATGGGTCATCGCATTCCCTGTCTTGTCATTATCGGGCGTTTTTTGTAGTTAACTCGTGGCCATTGCAGAAAAATGTGTGCCCACCGCGCCTGGCCAAGGCTCAGTTGAGGAGGCTTCTCCTGCAGGCTTGATTTGTGTGAGCTGATCACCAGGCAGCAGCATTGTTAGCATGTTGTAGTTACAAAAACAAAAGTGCCATGAACACTTCGAATATTCGCAATACATTCAGGCATGCTTAATTAGGGTATAGGAGTGTGAGATAGGAGTGTGTTTAAGACCATCGGCACCAGAACAGGGAAAAGGAAGGACTCTGAAATCAGTGTGGGGTGATTGTTACGCTCCGGTGATCTTCGCTGGTCTTCTTTAAATGTGTTAATGCTGTTAATATACTGGAGGTGTGTTTTTAGTGAACAAAAATGCACTGTAATCACAATCCAGCTGTTCTGAAGTAGAACATCTTAGACATATTGCTGCCTGGCAGCGTTAAATTTCAAGTGCGCTGTGAGCATTGGAGCAGGAGGAGCCTGCGCATGCTGCAACCGAGCCGCAGCCGCATGCATTTGTATAATACTGTACAGCATAAAACAGGAGCCCGCACTTTTCTTGCGGAAACAAACTGCCATACTGCTCCCCCTCTTGACTTGGTGTAGTGCATCTGACACCAGAAAAACGGATTTGAGTGCCGTGTGTGAAAGCAATCAACTTGTAAAAAGTTTTTTTTTTTTTTTTTCAATATGTCATCTTTTTCTCTTGGCCCTTGGTTCTTGTGGCCACTCGCCCATACTTTTGCGAGTGTTCAGCGCACGATGTCTTGTTCATTGACGTTTGTTGAGACATATAACGGCTGCCCATTCTTTCGCCAACCCCTCTGCCGTCGTTTCGTGACCCTCCCGGGACGCTGCGTGCGAATGGCACCACCTGGACCACACACATGGTCGTCGTTCAAAGAGCGCGTCGCTGCACCCTTTGTTCGGGATTCGTTAGCGTCTTCTTGCCAAGTTGTCTGCTCAAGATATTATGTTGTTCGTGTTCGTAATGGTTTTATCATTTGTACAGTGAATCATTATCAATGAAGAAAAGTTACAAAGTTTTTCCAACTGGTCTGTTGTTCATTTATTTGGCCATCTGGCAGTGGAGCTTGCTTGTCTGACTGCGCAAACCAGAACGTCGTGCCGGTGCTCGACGCCACACTGATATCAGCATTTGTAGCCAAATTAGCAGCTACTTGCAGGGCGTCTTGCTGAACAGGCGTGTTGGAATGCCGGTCCACTGCTGGACGTAACCACGCAGGTTTGCGAGGTAAGGCTCCGTCACGGTGTGGTTTCGGCAGAGGATCCAAACGTACACTGGGTGAACAAAGAACAAATTAACAAGCTGAAACTACTCGAAAAATTCTAGGAGTTTAAAGGTGGCGTTGTATACATTCACGATCTGTGCTCAAGCACACAAGGAAATTGCCTCGGAGGCTTTCATGCCTAAAACACTGATTTGACTCCCCCTCTTATAGAAAAGTTAAATTATGGCACACCACCCCTCCCATGTTACAGACTGGCACTAATGCACCCTCCTCCCAGAGATTTCAAAATTTTTGAAATCCCTGAAGAATTTTTGTGACTGGCTCAGCGAAATTTCCTGTAGCTTGGTATGCTATGTCTACGGTCTCTTCAGAGGAAAAGTTGCTTTATTCTTACTTATTATGAAGTACTAGTGACCTTGTAGGTACTCCGTGAAAATCTATGACGTCATGGCATTTAGTGCGAGAAATTCAAGGCAGCGTCGCCCCCTGCAATTTTTTTTGTGTGTTTCCTCGCTTGCCAAACGTCTTGTAACCGAGTAATTTACTGATACAACAAAGATAGTCTTGCTCTTCAGTGTCCCTTTATCGAAAACATTCGAATTCGTTCATCGACCACTGCATTAAGTCGAGCCTTGAAGGGCCACTGACCAGGCCCCGCACCAAAATTTAGTTAGACCGTGGAAGTTCGGTGTCCGATGAGGGACATTTTGCCGTAAAAATGTTTTGAATCGGTTCATTAAGAGCTGACAAATTTTTTTTTTTTTTTTTTTGGAAGCGGCGCGAAACGAGGATGAGAGGAGGTGAGCTTGAAACCCTTGCCGCTTCTCCGCGTAGCCTTCGCAACCCAAATCGCTTCCCTACTCTCTCCGGCATCCGACCAAGAGGTCACGTGCGCATGACGTGCCCGAACAAGCCCAACCCCCGTACACGTGAGCGGCGTTTTCTTCCCCCCCCCCCCCCTTTTTTTAAAATGCGAAGCATTTCTTATTGAACTTCGGTGACATTGCGCGTATATCTATCTATCTATCTATCTATCTATCTATCTATCTATCTATCTATCTATCTATCTATCTATCTATCTATCCGCCTACGACTTTTAGCTCTTCTAGCCGTTTTCGATAATGGTATCGATACCAAACTCTGTGTGGCATAACATGACTGTATGAAGAACATATTTGACTAGTCATAACATGGATGTCATGATTTACATTTTATAGTCCTGCAGCTCTTGCGGTGGTTTCGTTCTCATGACATGTTGCAAAACTGGTATGGTTTGACATGATGGCATGGCGAACACAAGCGAAAGACCCTAACATGAAAATCATAACATGCGTGTCATGTAACAACATGACTACATGCGAAGCTCATGGTGTGCTCGCGGGCGTTTCGCTAGCGTCACATATACCAAATTTGGTATTACGGGACGTGAATGGATGACGAAGATATGATACTGGTGCAAACATGATAAACATCAGATGCGTGTCATTTAACAACATGACTACAGGCTACGCTCATGATGCACTCGTGGCCGTTTCGATAGCTTCACATGTACCAAACTCAATATTGCGCGACGCAAACGGGCGACATAGGTAAATGACACAAACATGATAATCACGACATGCGTGTCATGTAACAACATGACTGCATGCTACACTCATCATGCGCTCGCAGCCGTTTCACTAGCTTTATATATGCCAAATTTGGTATTACGTGACGTCAATGGATGACGAAGGTATGTGACTGGTGTAAACATGATAACCATGAGATGCGTGTCATGTGAGAACATCACTACATGTCACAATCAAGGCGCCAATACATTTCTACGTGACGCGGTGCGCGTGCTCACCGGCGTTGCCACGCCAGGCACCGGTCCTGCCACATACTCGCAAGCGCGCCGGCGTTGTTTTGGCGCATGCGCGTTTCAGCGCGTCCGGCGTCCCTCCGTTACGAAAAGAGGGAGACGCAGTGTTGCCTGTGTAACGCATCCGCATGAAATGCAGCATGTCGCATTTCGTGCCGGTTGCCGTCGGGCCGCGCCGGTCGCGCTTGACGTCAGACTATATAGAGTGTTCGCGTTTTGCTAACGTAGCGTCGCTGTGCCCAGCGTGTGCGCGCGTCAACGCTACATTGGAGTATATTGGGCCCTTCATGATGCGCTCGCGGCCGTTTTGCTAGCTAGCTCCACACACACCAAATTTGGTTTTACGTGACATCGAGGGTTGACGAAATATATGACTGGTGCTAACATGATAATCCTGACACGCGTGTCACGTAAGAACATGACAACATACCACGCTCATAGCGTGGTCGTGACCGTTTCGCTAGCTCCACATATACTAAATTTCGTATCATGTGACGTGAATAGATGACGAAGGTAAACGACACATCCAGACATGATAATCATGATACGGAAGTCATGTACGGCATCATTTACCTCCACCTTGTAACGTTGTGCTGATTGTGAAGATCAACCTTTCTCATTCGCGCTTCGCATATCATCGATTACCACTGTACGTGGGATCTGCCTTTTTTTAAGGGCGAAGCTCCTTATGGCGTGGCTTGGGCGTCCCTCGTATGTAACCAACGTTACTAGTAACGTTGTATGTAACCACCATTGGCACATACCCGAAATAGGTATAACACTTGACCTCCAAGGTGGTGCCAGTGAGAGATTTCTTCTGTGCGTTGTTTAACAATAAAAAATAGTGCTCAATGTACATGCCCATGGCTGCTAATGGGGAATGAGAGACATGAGCATTCGGCTTTTAGTCAACGCGCACGCTGCGATCCCCATTAGCAGCCATTGGCATGTACATTGAGCACTATCGGACAAGAAAGGGATGCTACATTATACTCGCTGGGTGTAACCTCCTTAGCTTTAGAAAGGTTAAGCGAGCGTTGAGCCGCAGTGCCATGAATACAATGAACTTGTATATACCATGAATGAACTCAAGGTGGTAAAAAATTAGAAGTAGATACGAAGCACAAGCCGTAAGAAAGTAAAAGCCGAATTCTCCTGTCTCTCATTTCTCATTAGCAGCCATTGGCATGTAAATTGAGCCCTATCTGACAGGGAAGGGTTGCTACGTTATACTCGCTGGGCGTAACCTCTTTGGTTTTCGAAAGGTTTAGCGAGCGTTTGGTCGCAGTGACATGAATACAGTGAACTAGCATGAACTCGAGGTGGTTAAAGGTGGGAAGTGGACCTAAAGCGCATGCCGTAAGAAAGTGTGCGTGTGCCACCTCTCGTTTAGTCCTTGGAATGTCCGCTGGATGGCGGTGCTTCTATATGGGGAATATATGATAAAAAGATGCGAGATGGTGGGACTTGGAGTGTTGAATAGATGGACGAACGGACACACAAACAGATGCATTGATGGACGCATGAACGGACGCAGGGGCGGATGCATGAAAGAACGCAGGGACGGGCGCACAAACAGACGAATGGACGGTCACACAGACAGACGCATGGACGAACGAATGCTTCGCCCCACTCTTCATCATTCACTCCGTGGATATGCTGCCATTTTTTTTTTTTGACCAGTGTTGTTTTGAGCATAGTTTCCCAATATACACTAGAGGGAACTCTGGCGCTATAGTGTCTATGGGAGCTGCAACGCACGGCGCTTCAGCGAGCATGAGAATGATGGGTAGTACTACAGTGTACTAGAAGAAACACTGTAGTAGTACACACATTTGCACGCACATTTGTCTAATATTCGTACTTCTGGCCTGCTTTTGGCTCCGTGTGTGTTCGTGTGGCTTGGAGCTGTTTTCTTACGAAAGACGTTACATCGTTGCGCCGGTGCGCTTCTCCATTTTATTTTTTTTTTAACTTACTTTCCAAATCGGCTCACGAAGTTCAAAAGGGCTCAATGTTTCTTTCAAAACAAAACCGAAACACAGCAATAAACGAAGCCGCAAGTACGATTCGCCGCCCGCAAGTACGAAGACTAGGCAAATGTGTGTGCTACCCATCATTCCCACGGTCGCTGAACGATCGCAGCGCCAGAGTGCCCTCTAGTTAATTTTAGGAAACTCTATGGTTTTGAGGTTCACTGCCTGTTTCTGCGGGATGGCTTGGAAACGCTGGCTTAGACGCGGTAGAATAGACGAGCACAATGAGTGCGCGGACGCAAAGGAGCGTTCCACGGCTGTCGTCTGCTCGATGCGCTGACCACGGGGACAGGAACGCATGCGGAACGCCAGCACATCAGCCCCGCATCTCGTTGCAATTCACGGGGGGAAAAAAGAAAAAAAAAAGAACGCTCACATTTCCTTATCGCGTCTCATTATTCATCGAAAGATTTATTAATCTCTTCAATCAACGAATACATAAAGTACGCATGTCGTGTTAAATAATTTTTCCATGTCACGTGCCGCTGTTGGCAACGTATGAGCATGGCCGTCTCCGTAGAAGACCAGCGTCACTGCGTTGCCGTGTACGTAGGTAGAGTGTACTAGAAGCCATTCATACGCGCACGTCATGCCCTCATTCTCTACAAAAGGGAGGGGGAGCAACGTTCATCTTGAAATTTGACCCATTTCCGCGGCACGCAGCGTTGCAAATTTTGGCAGACGCGATCGCGAACGCCTCGTCTACGCATTTCGCGTGTCGGCTCAAAATTGTCAAACCTGGTGAGGGGCCCTTTAACTGTATGTGGGAGAGAGAGAGAGAAAAGAAACTTTATTGAAGTGTCCCTGCTTGCATGTGGGAGGAAACGTGTGCAGAGCGGTGCGCTAAGGCCTCGTGCAAGTGCGTATACCAAGTGAGGCCTTCTTGGAAAGGGTGTCGGATTG